AAAAAAACCGCCAAAAAGAACCCGCAAAAGGAAGGCAAAAGGAACGGAAAAGAAAAAGAAAACTCACGGCACTTCTCTTCTCCCCAACCCTGGCGTTCTCCTCGCCAACGTTCTCCTCACGGACAATCTCCCCAACATGCTCCCGGACATTCTCCCGAACATGCTCCCGGACCTGCTCTTGGTCCATCTCCCGACCCATCTCTTGGCCCATCTCGACGTCCATGTCCTGGTCCTGGGCCTCGGCACCAAGTCCCACACTCTGAAAAGCGTCGGCCATCTCGACGTCCACGGCCTCGCGAGCGGCACGCTCTCGGTCCTCCTCCTCTTGGCGCTCGACGGAGAGGGTTTGGAGCCGGCCGAGCCTGGGGGTGTTAGTCAGTTTTGTGTGGGTGGAAGTGGGAATGGAGGGTGTGGAAGAGGTTGAACCGGGTTAGTTTTGAGGGTGGGTTTGGTTTTGGGATTAGGTTTGATAATGGATTCTTGTGAAGGGGAATTGCGAATGGGAGTTCAAAAGAGAGTTCAAAAGAGTTGCAAAGCAGAAAAACTAGGAAGTGGAACATGGCTGATGAACAAACAGAACAAGAACTACATACCAATCCTCCATCCTCGGGGTCGTCTCAAAGTGCAGGTTGCCCTGCCCAACGAGATACACCTGGCCATACAGACCAGGCCCCGAGGAGAAGTTGGCCGGCGGCAACAGCGGCGGAGGCCAGCGAGCACCGCCCGGCATGTTGTTGTTGTTGTTGCTGCGGCTGCTCTGGTGGTGGTGGTTGCCGCTGTTGTTGCGGCCGCGGGCGTTGTTGTTGCTGCTGCTGCTGCGGTTGTTGTTGTTGTTGTGGTGGTGGCCGTGGTGGCCGTGGCCGTGGCCGTGTTGGTTGTTGCCATTGTTGTTGTTGTCGGCCCCGCGAGGGACCACACCACGACCACGACCACAACCCCGATCCCAACCAGCACCCCCCGTCGACCCCCCGTTGGGCCTTCCCTCTCCCGCGTCCCCATCCTCCTCAGCCGACAACGAAGCCGGAGGCGACGGACCCGGCGGGTGAGGAACCCCACCACCGACGCCATTGGGCAACTTGTCGTTGTCCCCGTCGTCGTCGGCACCAGCACCAGCACCGACACCACCACCACCGGCTTCCGACCCAGCCAAAGAAGTCGGCGGGGCCATGGTGCCCGACCGGACCGCGCTTTCGAACGTGAATTCGAAAGTGGTGCGGTCACGGCCGTCACCTTCTTGGCCACCACTGACCTCCCTGGCTGGGCCAGAAACCGGAGAGGGGCCAGCACCGACCCCGAGACCAAAACCAACAACTGCCGCTGCCGCGGCAAAGAGGAGGGGAGGAGCGGGCGAAGGGGGACCGGTCTGCTGTTGCTGCTGCTGTTGCTGTTGATGCTGCTGCTGTTGTTGCTGTTGCTGGGGCGCGCGGGGGGCAGGCAGCCAAGGCGAAGAGGGAGGCGGCGAGGGCGAGCGGACAAGACGGTTGCCCGGCTGGGCACGACCCCCTGCCATGGGCAGGGGAATCGGCGGGCGCGGGCGAGGGGGGGACATTGGTGTTTTTATTTTCGTTTTTTTAAAAAAAAGAACGTTTAAAAAACGTTTAAAAAAACGGAAAGTTTAAAATTGGTTTTTTACTCCAAGAGTAAAAAAAGACGAACCGACCCGGCGAGGGGCGAGAAAAGGCAGCGGGGGATTCGCTCGCAGCGAGATCCCAGGACGAACGGTGCGGGTGAGTGGGAGATGGTTCGTGGTGGGTTGGGCGAAGAAGGGAAAGGAAGAAAGCACTCGGAAGAAGAAGCACACTTCCGGAAAAACTAGGCATCGGAATTTACGCGCTGCCCGCCTAGACGCGTCTGAATTTCGTGTCAGCGAAGGTGAACGCGGACGGAGGGAAGGTGTGAAATGTGGCCCGAGCGCCCTTTTGTGGTGTGTTGTGAGATGTTGTGCGTGGAATGGGTGTGGTGTTTGGTGTTTTTGGCTGGAAGGTCCTTTGTTTTTGTTTGGATTGAGTATCGGATAGTACTCGGGAATCGGGGAGTCAGGGGTAATCAGGGGTAAGTAAACAAAGCTGCGAATTAGTCGGCACACGATGACATCAACGTGAAGAAGGCGGTCGACGTCGAGATCAACACATTCGATGTGTTCGTCTTGTTAATTATTCACCAGGTCTTCGAGGAGGAATCATGGCTGATGGTTGTACAGGTAGGTGAACACATAACAGTGAATCCAAGATGGTATCGTCTGTGCTTTCCAGACTTGGGAACGGTTTGGAAATGATTCAACTCTGCCAGTTTAAATGGGATGCCTTCAAGATGTGGATAGCAAATAGTGAACCTCGCGTTGGACATTGTCGTTGTGGGAATCACATGTTAGTCTCCCTAGCCATAGATTGACCTAGTCCGACTTTCATACCCTTTCAATACTTCAATCCAACAAGATAGCATTATCTATTATCGAGTACTCACTTCCTTAATGGTTACTCGCGATTGGTGCCAACAATATCCCTGGCACGGTGGTAATTCTGGGGAACGAGGGGGGGGGGGAAGTGACACCAACAGGAGTCGAAAGCTAGAACTGTGGTCAGCCGCATCACCCAGGGGGGTGATTTCACCCTGGGCGGTGACCAGACGAGGTACACAGCTCTTAACCACTACACTACCCGCAGGTGTGATCCTCGTGATTTGCTTGGTTGTTGGAAACTGGTACCGCGGACCTGCCTTACAACTGCCTACCTTCGCTTCACACTTGAGGCTGGAGGCGGTGGTACAGTCAAGATATTTTACATCGAATGACTACTTATCTAGGAAACCACTGTATGTACACCCAGTCCAAGGCCCTGGAGGTGCGTTGCTCCAGATTCCTATTTAGGTCAGAAATACCAAAAGCATCAGAAATATCAGAAATGGGCAAGGAGTTCTAAATTGACATCACACCTCTCATTTTTTTCCCATCTCCAAACTATCATGTCCCGCCTGTCTGCGCAACGAGTGTCGTCAAATATGCACCTACCGAGTCCCGATACAGGCATATAAGCCAGCCCCATCGCCAAGCACGGGCCATGCCGTCGCTCCCCGATTGCGCCATGCGATTGAACCCCACCTACCCACTTCCTTCTGCGACCCCTCCGGCCGATGACGGACGTCGCTTGAAGGAAGGAGAGGGACACAAAACCCGCTGATGGCCGCGGCAAAGCGAGCGAAGACGGGTAGATGGAATACGCTCATCCTGAGTGCGGAACTCGGCGCATCTTGCATCGTGGATTCCGGCGGTCAGACTTTTGGGAGCTAGGGATTACTCTTGTTCAAGCTTTTGGACCCCGTATTCCGGTGCGGTCCCTGAAATCCATCCACTGGCGGATCTGTGTCACACAACCCGCTGCGTATTGATTGGCCGGTCATAGGCTGTCTTTACGCTCCTTACGCCCTTTCTTACACCATCGCCGGCCTGATGACCTCGCCGTTCCTCCGCCCGTTCCGCACTTTACTCCGTCGATCTTTGGTTTCTTCTTATTTCCCTGCTCCCAACCCTCACACGGTGTCTTCTGCAGCTCGACTGCACACCTCCCCCGCCATGTCGGAGAAAATGAAGCCTGCCGCCCGTGTCGCGGGCCGCCGGCAGGATGTATGGTACGTTCCGGGGCGGGTCACGGTTCAGCCCGGAGAATATATTTGACTATATTCGGAAACAGCTGCACTTCTATAATTACTCAGAAGAAATCAGAGAAAAAGTGATTAACCCCCACAGGACCATCGTCAACGAAGCCGCCGCCGCCTCGCCCAAGCAGCCCATCATCAACATGGGCCAAGGCTTCTTCGGCTACAACCCGCCCGACTTCATCCTCGACGCCGCCAAGCAGGCCCTCGACCGCGTCGATTGCAACCAGTACTCCCCCACCAAGGGCCGCCCGCGCTTGAAGAAGGCCATCTCCGATGCCTATGCGCCCTTTTGGGGGCGCAAGCTCGACCCGGAGACCGAGATCACCATCACCACCGGCGCCAATGAGGGTACCTATTTTGGACTTAACACTCTACCGAACTAGCGTTAACTCTATTGCAGGCATGCTGAGCGCCTTCATGGCGTTTATCGAGCCCGGGGACGAGGTCATTGTCTTTGAGCCCTTCTTCGACCAGTAGGTCCTACCCTATCCACACTCTTGATTACGGCCATAGCCCTAAAATCCCCCAGATACATTAGCAACATCGAGATGCCCGGCGGCAAGATTGTCTACGTGCCCATGCACCCGCCCAAAGAGGGCGGCGTCAAGACCCTCTCGGCCGGCGAGTGGACCATCGACTTTGCCGAGCTCGAGCGCGCCATCACCCCGCGCACCAAGATGCTCGTCCTCAACACTCCGCGTAAGCCTCTGAACGCTGATACCTTACTCCTCTAGTGAGGTAACTGGCTTACACTGTTCGATAGACAACCCCGTCGGCAAGGTGTACTCCCGCGACGAGCTGCAAAAGATCGCCGACCTCTGCCTCAAGCACCAGATCATTATCCTGTCTGATGAGGTCTACGATCGTCTTTTCTACGTGCCTTTTACTCGTATTGCTACGCTGTCGCCTGAGGTCGAGCAGATCACCCTGACTGTCGGGTCCGCTGGCAAGAACTTTTACGCCACCGGGTGGCGTGTTGGTGAGTTTCTCCTATGAACGGGATAGTGTAAGGCGTAAGTGAGTAAGGTGGTTAACATTTCCATCTCAGGCTGGCTCATGGGCCCACCACATCTCATCCAATACGTCTCGGCCGCCCATACTCGCATCTGCTACTCCTCTGTCTCACCCTTGCAAGAAGCCTGCGCCATCGGTATGCCCTTTTTTCTCTCTTCATCTTCTTTTCTTTTTTCCTTGTTTGTCTTCTCACTAACAACAACCAGGCTTCGAACAAGCCGACGCGCAAAACTTCTGGACCGACTCCATCGCCTCCATGCGCCACAAAATGGACCTCTTCAACGCCATCTGGACCGAGCTCGGCATCCCCTATTCCGAGCCCGAGGGCGGCTACTTCGTCATGGTCAACCTGTCCTGCGTCGAGCTGCCCCAGGACTATCCCTTCCCGCCGCACGTCGCCGAGCGCCCGCGCGACTTCAAACTGGCCTGGTTCTTGATCCAGGAGCTGGGCGTCGCGGCGATCCCGCCGAGCGAGTTTTATACGGATGCGAATGCGAAGATTGTGGAGGATTATTTGAGGTTTGCGGTGTGTAAGCCGGATGAGGTGTTGGAGGATGCGAAGGAGCGGTTGAGAGGGTTGAAGAGGTTTTTGAAGAAGTAGGTAGATTCACGGGCCATGTATGCCATATAGACATGAGATAGATATGCGCCATACAGACATGTCGTAAATTAAAAACGTCTACGTGGGAATTACCAACATCAAGAGTCAAGGGCCACAACAGCACTCGCGCACAAACAGAAACACAGCCATACTGTCTTGCAATCAAGGCCGAAAATAATCAACCGCCTGCTAACCTGCCTGCTAATAAAACGTTAAACCCAAACCAGACTTTGTTCATCCTCCTCCTCCACCAGCACCTCCTTCCGGACCCCTCCCATTAAACACCTCTCGAACGACGAGTAAATAAGTCTACTCAGCCGGAACCTCCACACTCTGCGCAACCCCATCTACCTCCCCCGTATTCACCTTCTTGCCCGTCTTGGCAATCGTCCGCAGCACCTTTTCGTAAGGAAGCGATGACTCGGCGACGACTGTCGCTGTCTGCTCCGCGAGAGAGACTTCGTAGTGTTTGACGCCTGTTTACACCCCACGTTAACACCCGAATAGTATACTCAGTTGGTTGGGGGGAGGGGGTATAAAAGGAGAGGGGAGGGGTATGGGAGAGAGGAGGAGGGAAAGGGAAACATACCATCAAGCTTCTTGAGCACGCGATCGACAGCGCCGGAGCAGCCGCCGCAGGACATGCTGACGTTGAATTTGTAGGTGTGTTCGTCGCTGGAAGCGGGGACGTCGAGGTCCGGGACCTCGGCGGAGGGAACGTCGGGGACTGGGGCGGTTACGTCGGCCATTTTTTCGTTGGTGTGAGTACTCTGTTTTGGGGTGTAGTTTGGTAGAGTTTGTGGGAGAGCGATGTGTTGGTGATGGAGTTGGAGTTGGTGTTGGATGCGATCGCGGGGCAGGACCGCAGTTTATTAATGGGTTGGCCGGTTGGCGGGGTACTTTGTACTGTTTCAGGGGGGGTTTCTTCAGAAGGTGGGTGGGACCAGATGCAGCAAGCAACAGAGGGGATGCGACCTTTAAGTACCTCCTTCGGAACACTCTCTTGTTCAGCAAGACCAACTCAGACACAAGATCAAACGGGTGAGCAATAAATAAGCCGTCTGCGCCTCTCCCGAACCTGCCCTGCCTGTCCACTGCGCATCACAAAGTGGGCATCGCAAAGCAGACACGGCGATCAAGGCCCGTCTATCGGGGCCACCTGAGACGCTGCATGTCCCTCCAGGCGCTTGGTATGTAGGTACAGTACCAATACACAGGCGCTGATGACGGAGCGGGCTAAATTGCGACGCGACAATGGCGATTGCGACATCGCGCATTGCGCCAGAGCCGGGCGGCGTGGAAGGGTATGGTGGTTTCTTGTTGGTATTATTAATACTTTGATGACATTTCTTTTGTTTGCTTCTGACACAAGTTCTTGGTCTCGTGACTACTCACTCTTGGGCAAAAATACCTTACCTTCGGTAGGGAGGAATTCTATTCCTGGCAGTGCCACGCGACACAGCAATCGCTGATTCCATGCCTGTCCATTCAAAGGGCGTGTGTACCTGTCGATGGCAGGATCGCTGGCATGGATGCATGCGCAGTTCTGTCTGTACCTGCTTCAACAACGCATCTCACACCGTGAGACATACTAGATATCATTCCCCGTCATTCTCGCTAACAAACCAGTTTCACCAACCGAATCTCCCTTTTTGTTAGTTCTTTTTCCCCGTGTTTAATCATCTCTCCTCGTAGCGTAGTGTATATCTCACACATGTACCACATGTACAGTACATACCACCCATCCAACTCCATATTACCCACCTGAAACATGCTCATAACTCGCTCACCCGATCACACCGCCGACCGACCTGGACCTGGCCCGACGACCCGACCCGACCAACTGATCCAACCTTGTTAACCAAACCAGTAATCTGCTAATTATCAGATTGAGATGCCAGTTGTCAGATCTCGATTAAGACGATTGAGACGATTGAGACGGGCTGGCCCGTTCAGGTTCCCCCTTCCTTTTGCTTCCTTTTCCCGAGAATGATATCCTGCATTTTTCTGTCTGTTTGTTTGACGGACTTGCCCCTCACGGAAAAGGACATTCCGTCGGAAGTTCGTCTACTACCTTGATACTGGAATGTGTGCATGCAACTCGGACGGGAGCTGCCGCTTTGCCGGTAGCCGGGACCGGGTTTTGCTTGTGCGGTTTGTTATACCCGCCAAGACTGGTGAGAAGTTGGAAAGTTTCGGTCCTATTTTCTCTCAGACCGATAAATATTGTCTTTACTGTAGCAATGAGCTAAGATAGTGACGCAAACAGTGTGATTCAAAGTTTGAACCGGTATAGGTGCCTTGGTCAATTGTGCTGTTCTCTGGCTACCTGTTGTCGGTCTACGATACGCAGCACCAACATCCAGAGTTCAACGCTATTGCCTCCCTTCCTCTGGATGTACGTCCCGGTTTGTCTCTTCCCCATCGTTCTCCCCGCCATTCCCATCCCCATTCCCATCACCCCAACCAGCATCCCCACCACCAAGACCCCTCATATGCTCCTCATACAGCCTATCTGCGTCATCATCCCCCCACTCCTCATCCCCCCCTTCGTCCCAGGCCCCCGGCATCGTCATCCTCGGCGGCGGCGGCGGCGGTGGCAACCCTCCCTGGTCGTCCGCCCCGATACCACCCGCAGCCGTCCAGTCCCGCAGCCCCCCGCCCATCAGATTCCGCAGAAAATTGATCATTCCCGGGGAGGGCTCGTGTTCTTGTTCATTCTCATTCTCATCTCCCACTTCGTTCTCACCCTCATCACCAAAGTCAGCATCATCACCAGCATCATCACCTCGTTCGCCAGCACCCCCCCTCCGCATAGCCAACTCAGCCGCAGCCCCAACCACCCCCCTCAACACCCCCCTCCTCCGATCCTCCTGCCCCATCCTCCTCAACCGCTCATCCGCCGCCCCCTCAATCTCCCCGCGCAACTGCGCCAACAACGCCCGCGCCCCCGGTCCCGCCAGCATCGCAGGCCGGTTCCCCGCGTCCTGCCGGGCACGCTCGATTTCAGTCGCTGACCACGCCAGACGTTGCGCTGGCGCTGTGAAGAGGTTGGTTTCTTGCGCGGGAGGGAGAGGGTCGAATTCGAAGTTGGGGATGGCGGTGTGGAGCATTTGCCGGGGGACGGAGGACATTAGGTGCGGGGTGTTGTCGAGGTAGATGAAGCGGGCTGTGGCGAGGGTGACTTGGGCGGTGGGGTCTGGGTCTAAGGGGGTGGTGGTTGTGGCTAAGGGGGTGGTGGTTGTGGACGACAGGGAGGCGGCGGTTTCTTTGAGGAGGGTGGTGTGTTGGGGCGTGTTCCAGAGGTCTTTGGCTGTGTGGAGGTACAGTTCTGTGTGGAGGGCCTCGTCTTCGTTGCGCGGCTGGACGCCCCAGATGGGCTTGGGCGCGTCGAGGTTGAGGGCGGAGAAGAGCGCGCAGTAGAGCCATGGGAGCGTTGTCATGCCTTTGGCGAGGACGGATTTGGCTGTGGCTGTGTCGCCGAGCTGGAAGTGGGCGAGTGGGAGGGTTTGCTGAGCGTAGAGTTTGTTGGGGTCGTTGCCGTTGCCGCTGCTGCGGTCACGGACCCGAGCGTCATCGTCATCGTCGTCGTCGTCACTGTCGTAGTTGTGCTCCTCGAAAAAGCCGGAAGCGCAGAACTGGACGAACCACTCAGCTTCGTGGGCGCGTATGGCAAGAACATGAATCCAGTTGACGGTCCCGTATGGGTCCCGGTGGTTGACGCTGAGGAACAGCTTGGCCCACTCCAGCGCGGTCCGGTAGGTGCCCTTCAGGACCAGCTTCTGTATCAGGTTATAGCCCGCCAGATAGAACTGCCGGTTCTCCGGGCGCGCAAAGCTCAGCCTCGCCTGGCCTTTCTCCAGCTTCTTGCGGAACTCGCTGAGGCTGACCCGCCCAAAGGTAAACAGCGCCCGCTCGATCAGGTCGGCGGCCAGGGCCGAGTTCTGGTCCTGCCGCGCCACCTTGCTCACCTGGATGAGCGACGACACGTGGTACGGGTGCCGGTACAGAAAGTCGACAATCTGCATCGGGTCGTACATCTGCACCAACTGGAAGAAGCTGGCCTCCAGCATGTCGTAGTCCCGGTCGTGTGCAAAGGCGAACTCTACGGGCCCCTGCTGCTGCTGTTGCCGCTGCGACCCTGCCTCGGTGACGCGGATCATCTTGAGGCCCTCAGCCGTGCCCCGTGGCCACGACTTCTTGCCATCGATGAACGGGTTCGTCCGCAGAATGGTGTCAAACATGTTCCTGCTGCCGCCGCCCTGTTGCGGGTTTTGGCCGGGACGGACCGCCCGGGCGCTCAGGAACGTCTCGAGGTCCACATTGGCGGGCAGTCCGCGCTGCTGCTGCTGCTGATTCTGCGTCTGCTCCTCTCCCTCGGCCACGTCCATGGCCTTGCCAAACACCCTGCGCATTTCGTTCAACGCCTTGAGGTGCTGGAAATTAATCTGCAGTAGCTTGTCGAGGTTGCTAGTCGTCGAGTGGGTCGTCCCTAGAGTGTCGACAAGGCGGGGTCCGGGTTTCGGGGCCGCCATCTTGAGTTCTTGCAAGGCTTGGTCGATCTCATCGATGGGCTCGTCCGCCTCTTTGGCCGGGGCAGTGGAAGCCTCGGTCTGCTTGCCCTTCTTCTTTTTCTTCTTGGACTTCTTTTTGCTCTTCTTGGCCGGCTCGGTTGGCCCCGTGGATGCCTCCTCTGGCGCAGGCTGCTGTGTATCTTCATCCTCGTCGTCGTCGTTGTCATCCCCGTCCTGGTCGTCATCTCCGCCTAATGCGGCAAACCCAGAGAACATGTTACCCCGCGGCTTGGAAATAACAGGCTCATCCTCGGACTCCTCGCTGCCCTCGTGAGGCTCCTTTTCAGAGCTGAGCAACTCCTGCTGCTTTCGCAGCTTCCGCAGCTGTCGGCTCGCCATGATGACAGTCCAGTGTGACCGACGAGGTGTGATTCAAGATGGCTTCCCGGCGGACAACGGATGAGGATGGCGGGGTTGAGATTGCGTGGTCAAATTGTTTGTTTTCGATCTTCTTTGAACTTGGTCTTTGTATCCAAAGATGGTTCCGAAAAACTCGAGACCTGGTGTGATGTATTCTGATAAAACTCGCTCGGAGGCAAGAGCTGAATATTTCTTGTTTGTATGATCTCAAGGTGATATGAAATGATTTAAGTTTATGTGGGGACGATCAAGGCCCGAACTTGCAAGTGTCGCCGTGAGAGTCAGCCCGTCAGGACCCACAATGCCGTTGCCTCCTGTATTTTACACGTATGTACTTATTTTTCATGGTTCCTGTAACTTTCAAGTTTTGCCAACATTCTCTAAAGGAATGCTCCTTCTCCGAATCACAAGATAGATTATTTCATCAATGAAATACAATGAAACAGACTAATTTTTGTCTATCTCGGGGCAAGACAACCCGCAACGGTGCCCAAAGAGTACTTCGTATGTGTAACGTTGCCACACATGTGGCGGTGCGAGGGGAGCTCCCCGCACAGGCCATGCACCCACAGCAATGCAAATGCGGGAGGCTGAAGCTGCTGAATTTTCGTTGGTCGCCCCAGTCCTTTTCTTACCTTCCTCCAACCTCCAAACCAGAACCACACAACTCGACCACACACAAATCATGGTGCGCAGCGCGCCGACCAAACCCACCCTCTCCTAGCACACAACCCGTCTCCCAGGAGGCTTTTCCGGCCGTTTTCCTTCTTCTTCTTCCTCCTCCTTGTCATTTCCTTACCTTTTCGATACCCCGCGTGTGATTTCGACCGACTAGCTCGGCACGGCAACTTTGTGCATTTTGTCGCTGCCTTCTTCTTCTCGTCGTCAGAATGTCCGAATTCATCGGGTTCGTGTCCCTACCCAATGGCCCGGCAGCCTAGCCTTTGCAATTCCACTCTAGAACTCCAATTTACTAACGTCATGCGTCCGCAGAGCTCGAATCTCCCTTATATCCCGGAGCGACATTCGGTAGGTGGCAACCCAAAGAGCCCCGCTCTGAGCTCGCCCGAGCTAACCGCACTTCTATAGCTATTCCGGCACACTCCACAGCATCAACTCGGATGACTCGACCGTCTCTCTCGAGAACGTACGATCTTATGGCACCGAGCACCGGAAAACCAACCCCGATGAGTTCGTGCCCGCCTCCGAGCAGCTCTACGAGTACATCGTCTTCCGTGGCACCGATGTCAAAGATCTGAGGATCGAGGAAGGCCCCTCGTCGACGAAGGAAGAGAAGCCCCCCGCGGTCCCGAACGACCCTGCGATTCTCGGCGTGAGTTTACTGTCCTGCTATCCCGTGCCCCCACAGCCTGGCCTTTTTATGATGAACTATTTCGGATGTAAAAACTTTATTTGTCTGAAAAGCGCAAACAAACAATGTTGAGATTTCCGTTGCCTTCCTTCTGATCCACGGCCACAAACCTTCTTTGTCAACCACCAACTCCCCGTCATAGAGTCGGCTTGTTGCTAACAGACAATGTTCCAAGGCCCGACCTCGTCCTGGCAATGCTGCTCCCGGCCCCTCTGGTCCTCCCGGTCCGCAAGGCCCCCAAGGCCCTCCTCCCCAAGGTCCTCAAGGTCCCCAAGGCCCTCAGGGTCCGGTCGGTCATCCTGGTCCTCAGAACCAGCAAGGCCCGCCGCCTGGCGCCCCCGGCTTCGGCTACTTTCCCCCGCACATGCCCGGCTGGGGTCGTGCTGGTGGTCCCGGTCCCGGTCCCGGTCCTGGCCCTGGCCCGGGTCCATTCGGTGGCATGCCTTACCCGCCTCCAGGCTGGTTTCCCCCGGGACAAGAGTTCCCTCCGATGGGTCACGCTCCCTGGGGCCCTTACCCGTTCCCCGGCGGTCCCCCAGGTCCTGGTGGTCCCCAAGGTGCGCCCGGCGCCCCGGGACAAGGCCGCCAGTCAGCAAACCAGACTCCAAGCGGCCAAGATCCGACACAGAAACCCGCTCCTATCGGCCCAGCTGCCGACAGGAAGTCTGCCACTCCCTCTCAGCAGGCGGCACCCCCTTCTGAGCCCAAGGCCATGAGCCAGGCGCCCAAGCAGCCGGTCCCGCCCACTCCCCCGGTCGAGTCGAAGCCCTCAGCCGAGGAGGTCAAGGCGGCTGCTGCCTCCCTTCCGGCCAATGGTGCGCCCACCGCCGCCCCATCTTTCCCAATTCCCACCGGACCCAAGAGCGGCCGCGGGCCTATCTTGCCTGCAGTCCCTCTTCCCGTCGGTCTCACCTCCAAGTCGGCGCAGAATCAGGGCGGAAAGGCCACCGCTGATGCGCCGAGTGCTGCCGCTGCGGCGGCTGCCCTGGAAAATGCCACCCAGGCTGCCAAGGATGCCGTTGCGGCGGCCATGGCTCAGCTCCACGCCCCTTCCGGTGTCCCGCAGCAACAGCCTCAGCAGCAACACCAACAGCAGTACCAGCAGCATCAACAGCAGCAGCAGCAGCCGGCCGAGGCCAATGGCGCTGTGAACAACTTGGCCAAGCGTGTGGACGAGATGAGAATCAACGCCGCCCGCACCGGTCAGAACAACCGCGGTGGTCGTGGTGGCCGTGGTCCTCGGCCTGCCAAGGTTGAGGTCCCCGACACAGACTTTGACTTTGCGTCCTCCAACGCCAAGTTCAATAAGCAGGATATCGTCAAGGAGGCCGTCGCGGGCTCCCCGCTCAACGAGGTTCCTCCTTCTACTGAGAATGAAGCCCCAGAGGGCAGCTTGGACGATTCAGCCCCGGTTGAGCAGGCCTACAACAAGACCAAGTCCTTCTTCGACAACATCTCGAGTGAGATGAAGGACAGGGAGAACTCCCAGCGGGCCGGCGGCGTGCACTGGCGCGGCGAGGAGGTGCGCAGGAACATGGAGACTTTCGGTCAAGGCAGCGTTGACGGAGGTCACCGCGGTTACCGAGGCCGTGGTCGCGGTCGTGGTGGTCGTGGCCGTGGTCGTGGCGGTCGTGGTGGCTTCCGTCAGCCCCAGACCGCTCCCCAGCAGTAGAATCTTTCTACTGGAGTCCAGATCGCCCTCCTTTCCGCCCGTGCCATCCGCCCACAGCAGCCAGCCGCTTTATACCGCCCTCAGCCGGCGGTTCGTAATGTATGACTAGCCATCAACACTGGATTCAATATTTTCTTTTTCTCCTTGCGTTGAGTTTTCACAATTATCGGCAGAGGCGGCGGCATCGGTCAGGCTCCCAGTTACGGTGTTTTGCTTCTAGGCAGGGAGTTTTTGTTATCAAGGAGCGACGACGCTATGAAACGGAATAACGATGATTTTGATCAAAGGCTTTTTTTCCATGACCGGCGACTTAGTTGGGGGGGTTTCTCATGCTGCACTTTATGATTACGGTCTAATCAAAGGCAGAGCCGACGGTGCAGGGTGGAATACGGAACCCGGACCATTGTTACCGCTGTAGCGGCGCATGGGACACGCATACTGTTTTGTTGTTTGGCCTGGATGGACAAACAGGCTGGAATGGCGGCGGGGCTGGCTGGAGTTTGACTGTTTTACCACGGCAAAGCATCATCGGGGATTGCAGGGTCGGTTGGGGTTGGCTGGTTGTTGTCTTTGTTTTTTGCCCTTTCTTTTCGTTCCCTTTTTTCCCTCTACCTCTCGATCCCATACCTGGGGACGAAGACTACAGTACGCACGTCAGGTTGACTGCTGACTGGTTGACTGGTTGTTTGGGGGCATACATAGTATGGATGGGACGGGATCGCATGGATTAGGATGAGCCGGGCTGGGATGGGATGAGCTTTTTGATCGTCTCCTGGAGTCGGTTGGGCGGACTGGCGGGTGTTTCTCCCTGGCGTGTAGTTAGTTGGGCAAGAAGGCTAGCAACGGGTGTGCGTGCATACGATCGGTCGTCATGGTGATTGATAAATTTACAAAAGTTTTCCTGCTGGAATTTGTGGTTCTATTCGTTGCGTTTTAAGTGATTATGACTTTAGGTTGGTATAGTAAATCAAGCCTGGGTGCAATGTATCCTGATAAGACAAAGCCATACTTCCTTATTCCTTCTGGTCCAAAACTCACCTCCACGAGGACGCTATAAACGTAAATCGCGAAGAGCAAGAAAGAGGAAATAACACAACATCATTTCCTCTCTACTATGTTGACGATCTCTATGAACAAAGTTCCCAAATCACAAAGCAGTTAAAAAAAGGAGAGATAGGATAGTGTATGTACTCATCATACCGAGCGCAATGGACATGTACATGTATATATGTACACGAGTCGTAGTTGCAGCCATGTTTGCCTGTCAGGTGGCTTTTACAAATTCCCAAATCATGAACAGACCAAGAAGAAGAGGGATGGCCTGCGTACAGTAATTACCCGTTCTACCGAGCAGAATATACATACAGTACAGTTCACAACCGTAGCGGTAGCGGTAGCCATGCTTGTTTGTAAGGGGGATATGTTAGTTATAAGACGCAGGTAGGCCATGACACTGACACCATGACTGCCAAAACCAAAGCGTTCTGTTAGTTATCCCGGCCTATTAATACGTAGTTTGGCTACGTGGAATGTGAGCGAGGTAGCTGTGATAAGGGAGGTTATTTATGTTAGGGTTTATTAACGTCAATGGGGCTTTTGTTCGAGTTTAAAAAGTCTAAAGTGTTGGGCGCTTCTTTGCAGTGAAGCATTGCGCCGGGAGAGGGTCGACAGCGAGGAAAAGATGTTGTAAGCCAAAGCCTCAGTTCTAGATCATGCGTGCTTGCTTTCGCTGCTAGAATCTTACATGATGGTGAGGTTTCTCGGTAGGAAAGGGCTGCGGGTGTAAGTAAATAGGGATGAACACCACCAGTGCCATGGACATGGGAACATTGAAACTAAGTTCAAGCGATATTATATCTTAGCTCGGGAAGAAAAAGAGTGCGGTTGGATCTAATCCAACTTGGGATATAATAACCATAGGTATGTTTTGTTAGACTGTGAGATATGACGTGTGTAAACCAGACCTGACAGCCAACCAACGTGGCTTCGAGGGGGGATACAAAGGGGACCGATAGGTGCACCCGTTGGTTGATAGAGTGACAAGCTTAAATATGGAAACTGAATCACTACGTAACAAACGACCATCCACGTACAAGACACAACTAGCTGCAGGAAGAAAGACAATCTCTCTTCCTCGCCACTCCTCAACTACAAGGATCAACAGAGCACCGTCCACACACAACAGCACAACTTCATCGAATATCACACAACTCGAACAATCAAATCACTCAAACTTGGCATAACACACCTCACTTAGTCGCCTACAACGAAACGATCAAACCAGTTATATAAGGCAAAAACAAAACGAACCATCCATTATCATCCGCCCACCTTAACTAAGCCAAGCCAACAGGCCCAAAAGTACAGTAACTACCAAACCAACCAACCCCACCAACTCAAGTCCGAACCGGTTAAACCTCCGTCAACCATCCTCGAACTATCCCACAACCTCCGTCCTGTTATCTCGCATCCAACGGTCTCTCACTTCCCCAGTAATAACGGCATCATCAAGGACGCACACCCAAGTAAAGAAATAGAAACGGCGACACGCATATGAAGAGATACACAGCACAACAAGGCAAGCAACACATGAAACGGTTGGGACAAAGAAAAAAATCAAGTAGAAGTAGAAATCTCTCTCTCTCTCTCTCTCTCTCTCTCTCTCTCTCTCTCTCTCTCTCTCACTGTCTCTCCCCCCCCCTCCCCTTACCAAATACCTTCTCTTCGTCCTTCCTTCTCCACCGTCGATCGACTCTCTCACTCCATCTCTCACCCAACAATCACAGCACCAGACAGACGGACAAAACAGACAAGACACAAACAAGAAATTTGAACCATTGAAAAAAAACAAAGTGGTATAAACGAAACAGAATATACAAATCTCCCGACCCACCCAATATTTCATTCACTCCCCACACCACCTTCTTTTCCACAAGACACAAGGCCAAACACTCAGACACACTGCCAGACACACTCACTCAGATACACTTACTTCCTCTCTCACACAAAACCGCTGGGCAAGATCCAGCCTGGCAAGGCTCCCGCCTCCCTCACTTCCTCTTTCTCCCCCGACCTCCCAAATATTCTCATCACCACCACCATAATACCACCGTAATAAAGATCCTGAAATCCTGAAATAGAGTCGACAACGACCCCGAAAATAGACGATAAGACCGACAACAACAAGAGACTAGAAGAGATAATAGTAGTAGAGTAGACCAGACAAGAGGGGGTGTTTTAGAGCGCACAATAAAAAGGAGAAGAATAAAAAAGAAGTGGGAGAGAAAAACTTTGAAATAAAAGACTGCCTGCCTGCCTGCCTGCCTGCCTGCCTGCCTGCCTGCTTGCCACACATACTTCACCCTCCCTCCGTCGGCTAGCTGCAATTGTGATTCGATATTCGCTCACTCAGTCACTCGCTCACGCGCTCACACACCATCGTCTCCCGTTAATGAAACCAAACCCGACAAAAAGATATCTTGCTTACTGTCTCCCGTCTCCCACAAACCTCTACACACCGTTTGGGTATGGTTGGTCGAGACGATTAACGCGAGCTACCAAGAGCACTGATACGCGCGCCCGAAGGCCGGTGGATCAGGCTCTCCGGATGCTTACCCACGACTCCCTGTTCCGGCGTGGGCGCGGGGATGGGGTTGCCCTCGTCGGCGTCGCGGGCGACTCGATCGTCAGCGGCGAGGTCATCGACATCCTCGTCGTCCTCGACAATCTTCGTGGGGATGTCGTGTTGTCCGTGTCCGTGCCCGAGGTGGTGCTGGTGGGCGTGGGGGTGGGATTGGGTGTGGGATTGGGCGTGGGCGTGCGCGAGGTGGCTGTGATGGGTGGTGTGGAGGAGATACTGCTGGGAGGCTCGCTCTGGGGTCGTGGCCGTGGTGCTCGCGATCGACATGCTAGTGCTGCTGCGGTTGGGAATGAGATCCGGTGTGGGTGGGATGCTAGAGATGCGGCCGCTGTTCGGTCGGAGGAGAGTGACGCTGCTGCTATCGTCACCGACATCGGACGTGGCCGTCGAGGTGGACGAGGCGTTACCGTCATCGCTGTGTGCGCCTGAGAGAGAACTCCCTGTCCTGCTTTTTAAAGACTCCCGAACCCTGGAAGCCGACGAATGCGGCCTCCCGAGCTCGGCATCTTGTGCGAGTTGCAGGCCCTCTACGGCGGCCTGGCATTGTTCCGCAATGTTGCGGATGATGTGCGCGATGGCATCTGTCTTGTCCTTGAGGTGACGGTCCGCGACGTCGATGAACGTCTGCGTCGACACGCGCCGGCTTGCGAGCGTGAGGTTCTTGATGAACCGGGCATCGGTCTGCTCCACGCCTGCTTCTATATCGTTGTTAGTGTCACGTCCTCTCAAGGTAGGCTGGGGGCGGGTCGAAAATATCCTACGCTCAGCGATAGCCGCGGCCTCGACCTCCTCCTGGGCGGCAAAGCCAGCCTCGATCTCGGCAGCCAGCTCGTCGGGGGACGTCAGCGTCTTGACGAGGTGCTCCATGTGGTGGTGCTGGCCCGAGATCAGGCTGCGCAGGTGCAGCACGACGCGGCGGGCCTCGTCCCGTTGCCGGACGATGGTCACGTTGGTGTGCTGCAGAGCGTTGAGCTCCTTCCTGTTCCGCTTGCGCTCGCGCTCGAGCTCTTCTGCAATCTCCTGCTGGAGCACAAGAGCCTCCAAAGCGTCGTCACGCTGCTTCTCGGTGCCCGCTAGGCGGTTCGACAGTCTCGAAGCGTCCTCCTTCTGCTGGTCAAGGAGGCTCCCAAGACGGCGGTTCTCGCGCTTGTGGCCCTCAATCTTGACCTTGAGCTCCTGGGTCTCCTTAGTGAGCGTGTCGGCAAACGCCTGGAACTTGAGGAACTGTGCGGTATCATGTTAGTAAGGGATTCAAACAGCCCACCATCAAACCCCTGGTCAATACGTACTTGCTGCTTCCAGCTCTCCAGCTCCTCGTTGAGGTAGTTGTTCCTCTTCGTAACCTTGCTGAGCTCCGTGTCGAGGCGGCCCTTGAGGTTAATGAAATCTTGCCAGGCCTCCAGAGCATCCCGGGAGTACTGGTTGCGCTCGCGCACAATCTCGTTGAGGTGCCTCATCGAGACCTTGGTCATCAGCGGCTTCTTGACAGACCCGCCAAACACAGCCTTCAGGCCGGTGTTGCGGCCCATCTTCTCGCACACGTGGTCCATGACAGACATGACCGCGTCCTGGTTCCACCACTCGGGATCCTGAATCGACTCAACCTCACCCCGCATGACAATGATCTGGCCCGCAGGCACCAGCTTGCCACCACCGTACGCCGAGCGCAGATGCTGGGGTACACCCGAAGGCGTAACATCGCCGTTCAGAGCCTGGGTTAGCCTCGTCACAAACTTGTTCCGCTGGCCAGCCTGGAGGGCAGTCGGGGGGTTGGATGTGAGCACAAAGTTGCGGTCCAAGTCGATCACCAGGGCGTCAGTGGGCGCAGAGAACAGCGACCTGCACTCGGCCGTGATACCGAGAATGTACGGGCCGGGCTCCTCGACTAGGTCCTTAGCGTGCCGAGCATGGACTACCGGGACGTACAGACCGCTCCACTCGTAGATACGAACACAGAACCGGACCGTTTCCGCGGCCATGGTCAGCATCGCAGGGTAGTGGCTGACAAAGATGATCCGGCGGGTTGGGGAGATGGCGGCTTCAATGACGCCCACGATGTTGGGAATCGACAAGCAGCAGAACAACGGCCACATGGCGAAGTTTTGGAACCCAGTGGTGTAGGAGGGGAACTGGTAGCACAGCGCATAGTCCTTCATGTCGATGCGCACCAGGTCGTTGAGCCGCGGAGCAGGGAAGCTGAGGATCCGCGACACCTCTTCGGCGTGGAACAGGTTGGTTGCCTTGTTCCAGTGGATCCACATGCCGCGAAGGTAGTCACCGAGCAGGTTGTACAGCGGGTAGCGGGACAAGAACGACAAGCAGTACGGGATCCAGTACTGCTCCTCCGGGTTGTCGTAGAACTCGGGCTCCGTCCTCTTCCTCAACTCGCGGATGGTCTCAGCGCGCTTTTCGTCGGCGCGCGACCAAACTCGCAGGCAGATGCCGTAGAGGGTGTGGGACGAGTCCTGCTGCAGCACGAACGCATGGTGCACGCAATGCGGCTGGCTGCGACCGGTGCAGATTTCGACATCATGGGGGAAGCACGCCTGCAAAGGAGGTTAATCAAATGTTCGGGAGACCCTGAGAAACGCAGGGCCGATGCAGCTGTCTGTGCATTACTTACCCGCATCGCGGAATGCAGGGCCCGCGCGATCTCGTTATCCTGTTCCAACCGCGGACTGCTCCCCAAGATCTCGGGGAGCCAGAACTGAGGAACAGCACCCTTCATGTGTCCAATTTTCCCCTGCGCTGGCGTCGGCGCCTTCACCCATTGCGATGGCTCGCGACCGACACCGCACACCATGTAGGCGTGGGTGAGGGTCTTGGGCGTCCGTTGTTGGGGCTTCATGGTGAGCGTTGACGGGATCGGTTGGGTGATGCGAGAGTGGAGGGAGGAGGTACGGCTCGGGATGATTAGATTGCTGTCGGCCTGGTCGCGGGTGACGGGGCGCCCTTCACGGTCACCTGTCCGCGGACGGGTGAACGAAGCGTGGGCACTGAGCGACGGGGGCATGATGGCGAGGGTTCGGAAGCCAGCCAGGCGACCGAGTAGTAGTAATTAATTTTTCTTCTTCTTTCTCCTTTGCTTCCTTGGCCGTCTCGCTCGCTTGGGGTTTGCCGATCGGAGGAGCCTCGTTCACAAAGGACGGACGGGATCCGCTCACTTGGGTGCAGGAGAGGGCTTCGATAGTGGCGACTGGTCTGGCCGGTCGAGTTAGTGAGAGAGAAGAAGGACGGCCGGCCACGCGATGATCGACCACTGCAGTTCTGGAAACAAGCTCCTGGCAAGTTTCCCTTCCAGTCCCGACCTGGGCAAAAATGAAGAATGATCACGATAGCGGGAGTAACTAAAAGCAATTGTAATGCAGCTCGGATGGAGCGAGGGAGAGAGGGAGGGTGGGGAGGAGCGTGGCAGCCAGCTGAGACACAGATAGATGTGTTGCTCTCGCTTGTTGGCTCGCGTCTGAAAAAGCGCAGACGGGCGAAGAGAGACACGACGAGCAGTCAGACTGAACGGGCTTCGATGGGCTCGACAGGCTCGACAGGCTCGCTGTTGATGCTCTCGGTTGCTGAGCTCCCCACGCGCCGCTGGGTTGTCCCTGGAAGGAAGGGAAAAGAGCTGGCACGGAATCTGGGCAGAGGGGGGGAAAGCTCACGATCGAGGAAAAGGGAAAAAAGAAGCACCGGGGGATGAGAAGAAGGACCGAGCGTGGTGGAGCAACAGAGAGGACCCTCCCACCTACCCCAAAAAAGAGAGTCAAGCCGAAGAGGAGCTTGGGGTTGTGCTCTTCTGTGCTTGTGGGCCGGGCGTGGCGGCCGAGAGCCAGGAGTGCCGTCTGGGATGTGATGAGAAAATGGGGGGACAAATGAGGGCACTTGAGGTGCGCCGCGCGCAACAGAATAGATTTGCCAATTCGCTGCGACCGTAGGAGGGTTCACCCAGAAAGCAAAGTGCAGGCTGCAGCTGCAGGTCCAACAGCAGTCAAGCAGCCGGCTTTGGGAGGGGGGCCTGCGACGGGGAGCTGGGAAATAAGGTGGAGGCACTAAACCTCACTGGGCGGCATAGCAGGGGGGTTCGCCCAGGGGAAAATGGCAGGGTAGCATCAAGGGGCCCACACGCCAAGATATCGAATTTGCTTTCGGCCATGTGCCCGGTACGCCGATCCGGCTAGGAAACCGCGCCGGGAGGGATGTCGCCTGTACCTCGCACAAACTTGGTCTGAACGTGGGACCCCGCTCCTTTCTCAAACGGGGGCTGCCCGGGTTTGCTTTCGGTTGCTTTCGACAAGCAATTCGCGGATAATTTGGTGGATCCTTTCCCCCAAACCTTCAAAAAGCAGCGCTCCCAAACAGCACCACAGCGCGCGTTTGTGCAGCCCGCCACTGAGCGCACCGCTCTTCGCATTGATCGCTCTGTTCTCCTCGGGTGGCTGCTTTGACTTTTTCCCCGCCCCCAATTGGCATTGGATCAAGTCAGAGAGCCACAGAGGTAAAGAAAAGAGGAGGGGGAAAACAGTGGGTGATCAACTGCGCCGCAGCAGCCAGACAGACAACCCGGAAATTTGCGGTTTTTACGACGTCGTAACGGGATGGATAGCGTTACCGACCGGGTGCGACAGTAACTCGCGAGGAGAGAAAAAAGGTGGGTGGGCGAACATTGGATGAGGTTGGGGCCGCTGCGAACGACCTTGGAAATCTCAGGGGCGCACTGACTGATTTCGTGACGAGATGAACATGACCTGTTGCGATGACCGCCCTTGTCAAGCCCCCCCTCTCCTGCACAAACGCCATCCCATGACTTGCTTCCACAGGAGAAACATACTGGCCGTTTCCCGCGCCGTCGAGCCGCTCTGTCGGGTCACAAGCGTGGGCCCCAGCAGCGTCCAAGCTTTTTACGCATTGTTCACCGTCTCGTTTTTATTTTGTTACGTCGTTTCTCGAAGACGACGAGGGGGCGAAAGAGGAGGGAAAGACCTGGAAGGTGGACTTCCCACTCCACGGCTCCTCATCAGGTCTCGGGAAACGAATCTGAGCAAACCGCGCACAGATCGCCCTGCGGAGTCGCGTCTCTGGCGAGCCCGGCGACAGCGTCCCAAATTGGGAAATGTGAGAGAGATCGGCGTGCAGAAGCGAGGGCCCCGGCCGGCCCAGCCGGCACTGCACTGGCAGTCTGGCACTGTTCGCTGTCGGTTCGAAAAGGGCTTCTTTCTTCTGCACAACGGTTGGCAGCTGTTCACTTGTCTCCCCTGTTGTGGAAGGGGAAAGAAAATCGAGAAAACAACTTCCACCGCCTTTTGCTGGGCTCGGCTCGGTGGTCCATTCGGGGCTCGAGCCGGTGAGAACCGGTCGAGGAAGAAACCGACAGAGTCTGACTACCTCCCTGATTCGACCTGGATTCGCCGGCCGCGCCGGATTTGTGTAGAATTGTCGAATTGACCGTGAGGCACGGCATGAACTGTTCGGAAACACCCTGTCTGCCCTCAAACATAAACGCCGTAGGCGAATGAATGTGACTGGGCAGTCTTGTTGCGTTTGTTGGTTGCAACCGCGCGTTCGGAAACATGCAGCATGCGTGTGTCGGTTGGTGACTGAGCGCCGGGTTTCAGCCGGCAACCTCCAACTCCCCAGTTGTGCGGACGGCACTGGGCCGGGCGGCAAGATCGGGACTCCATTGCGCTTCGCCGTTGGGGAGAAGGGGAACCCGGGCCGAACCATCAAGGCTGGAAGAAGACTGTGGTCCCTGCGGGTCTGTTTGCACAAGAGATCACTTGCAGATTTCGGCGCGTCGACAGATTTCAGCAGGGGCTTGGCAAATGCAGACCGGCTGCAAGATAAGTTAGATGGCAGGTTGCGCGATCGTGCCATTTGCTCAACCGCCCGGAGGGCATCGATCGAGACCGCAGATACTCGCGGCGTTGCGGTCAAATCTCCCTCCAAATTGAAGGATTAGTTTGGTGTTTTCGGGGCTTGTGTCTGGACAACCGTCGCTCCGATCTGACACGAGCAACCTGGAATCCGGCCGTAAGCAGATTGCAGTGCGGAAAATGCACAGCAAGTTCCCTGTGAAACTCTCGGTGTCCCTCGGACAAGCCCAGACAGTTGCCTCGGATGGTCGAGAGCCAGAGGAAGATATTCCAGGTTTCCTCAGAACTTTCATGGGAACGAATACATAGTATGGAAAGAAGGCAGCCGCAAGATTCAAATCAACCAACTGTCGAGGGATCTTCCATGTCGAAAAAAGAGTGGACCCGCCAAATCGAACTTCAATCTGAATGTCTGCGAGCACTTTCGTCTCACGTGATGACGCTCCACACACGCGCCTCGATTTCGAGCGCTGCCATTGGGGAGCGCGCCCTTGGCCTGACATCCGTCGCGTGTCATTCGTCCAAATCTCGCGCCACCGTCTGAGCCATCGGCGTCGTTGCTTTTGATATTTTATGCGAAGATTTGCCGACTCTGTCAACGCCACATATATTTCGCGTGTTTGAAACCGAAAGCCGACCACGACGTCTTCCCCGCAGTTTCACTTCCCTCGGACCTCCGTTTGTGAAGGACAAGCAACGAACTGTGTGCTGGTAGCGAGCTGTGTGCAACTTGAAAAGCAGCCCAGCAAAAACAAGTTCTACACAGAAAGATCATGACGACAACAAAATCCACCACCAAAACCCCAACACCAACCAAACAACGCTCCACCCGTACCAAACTGACCCCAACCACCACCACAATGCCCACGACCACAACCACAACCCTCGCCAAAACAGCTCTCCCCAAACTCCCCTCCAAACTCCCCCCCAAAACCAGCCTCCCCCTCCCTCCCCCCCTCCAAACCTCCTCCCGCGGCACCCCCTTCGAACGCGCCGTCTGGGCCCTCACCTATCAAATCCCCCCCGGCTCCTTCAGCACCTACGCCCTACTCGCCGCCCACCTCAAGTCCTCCCCGCGCGCTGTCGGC